CCCCAGCACCGCTGCCAGAGAGTAATAGGGAGGCGCTTCACTCGAATCAAACAGTGACAATTATTCAACGACGGTTCATAAGATTCACTTTCTGAAGCTTCGGAATTGCGAGAAAAAAAATAATTCCTCCGGACATATGGCGCAGTGCAAAATGGGTTCAGACTTATGCATCAAGTGAAATGGAGCCTCAGAAAATCTTAGGAGTATATCAAAAATTCTTCCTATTTACGCTACAGTACGTGTCAGTTTGATATGCAAACGCAAAAAAAATGAACGAATTTCATCACATTATCAAGAATCGATCTGGACTCCTATCGCATAAACAATATAAACATTGTTATGAACATATGATGCAAAGTGACCTCTCGAGATTGTGATTACGGGAAAATCATCGCTATCATCAAGCTCGGAATAGGAAAAGCACATGTTTCACATTTGCATACCCAATTGGCACGCACTGTTATTTTGCTGTAACCAAGAGTGCTGCTATTACCCGTCGCTTTCACATCAGTCTGCTCAGTGAGGATGTCCAGCAACACAGACACCACTTGGCTAGCGAAGGTAGCATCACCCACACGTATTGTGGTCAGATGCAAAGCTCGTATGAGGAGGCGACGATACTGAACCAGGAACAACACTCCCAAGGCTTGACTCATTCGGCCACGCTCCTCCGTTGTCTCTCGAAAGCCACCATCGTTGAACTGACCTCAGTATTGCCCTCAGACGTGCTGGTGTCCTGTGTCTTGATGAGCTCTTTTCGCAGCATACCAACTACATCAGCAATATTACGACTATTCACCTATGCGGGGAAATCATGAGGAAAAGGAATTCCCCTGGAGACTCTATGATGGCGCACTAGTTACCCACTACTAGTCCTACCAGTGGTGTGCAGATGTGAAGGATCTTCCTTCTAACCTCCACTGCAGGGGAAGACAATCCCCGTAGTAGATCCATGACCAGCGGCTCCATAGCCTACAACAATCGATAAGGTAGCCATATACGCTGGTCCTGTGGCCTGCTACTACTACCTGCTTGTAGTGCTTCCTTAGAAGGTCTATTCTGTCCAATACAATGAGCTTTACATTATTATCAGCCTGGGTGATCACCAGGTTCACGTAAGCCTCAGCCGCTGAGATGACAGGACACAACTAATGGGAATACGCACTGCTATGACGCAGTCCATAAACGACTTATTCAAATCGTCAACCCTACCACAGCTTGATCCAGCTGAGCTAATTCAACCCTGTGATAGATGCAAGTTCATTCACAGCGTACATCCATGAAAAAACGGCCTTGCTCCAGGAGGTAGTAGTAGGGATGCACACCCGCCTTACCAGCTCCAATGGCGACATGAGACTTGGACAGGATGACCAAAGTATTAGCGGTCTCATACTGCACTGCAGGGCTTAGTGATTCCCTCAGAGTATATACCACCTGAAAATCACATACCATGTCATCTCACAAGGAATCGATCTCTAGACCTAACGGTTAACAGCCTACTACCACAACCAACTACACTAATGGCCCGTTCCTATCTTTACCTTCAACAGCGCACCCTTCATCTCCGGATGGTGCTTATTGACTCTCCGGATAAGCTCGAGAATTACCAGTTGGCATATATCGCCCAAGTTCGCAACTTGATCCTAAAACGACATACGCAAATCAGCCTCAGCAGCGACGAATCTACCTGCATGGAAAAAATGTAACTCATGGCCTTCTCCTCGTTATG